CTAAAGGAAATCATCAGAAGCAAGCAGGTGTTCTTCAAACTGCAAACGTGAATTGTCTATGCCATGCTACAATGTCCGTGTTGTGCCATATGCCATGATCATACTTTTTGGACATTGGCAACCAGTGTCCATATTTCATCTTGATAGGATGACCAGAGGAGGAAAATGCAGCTTTGGTTAATAACAGCCACCAGAGGTGTGAAAACGTGTGAAGTTGTTGTGAATTTATTCCATGTATGTGCAGGAATAACTGTTTGACCATGATTAGTGCTTGAATCACTCTTTCATCTATTGTTCTAACACACAGTTAGTAGGACTGTGTGTCATAAACACTGTATAACAGCTGAAATAATATCTGGTTAAATAAGATATTTTACCCCCACTACAGGGGAGGGCAATAAACATCTTAAAGTATCAGAAACATAAATTCCCAGCGGGTCGGGAATAGAAAAGAACATAAAATCACAATATCGGATTCAGAAAAAGATGTTGAAATGTGTGAAAGGTCGGACACAGGCGAGAGCGTATCAGGAGATGGAGACGGAGGCGAACAACACCTTCCTCATCCATGGCCCTATCTCAAAGCAAAATCGTATAGTTGAGCTTTCAATTCATATAGTGTCATCTGCCAGTTTTTTTTAAAGGTTGCTTTATACTTTTATACTTGAGGTAGTTTTTCGAGCACATACTTTTTCACTTTTACTTGAGTAAAGAGGTCAAGTTGATACTTCAACTTTTAAACTGTGTGTTTTTAAACTGCAGTATCTATACTTGTACTTAAGTAACAAATGTGTGTATTTTTGACACCACTGCCTGTTATCCTCATAACCTCCACCCCCATACATTGGACCAGAACATCTTGCCTGTTAAGCCAAGCCAACATTTTCAGAGACATGAACCAGTATCGGGCATTGCAGGCTAACAAAGAACCCAAACAACTGCCCATTCCATTCATGGATTTATTTCAAGATCTATTCATTTTTTTGTTTTTTAAATTTTATTCTGTAAGTTTAATTAGATTTAAACTTTTTGTATTGCACTAATTCAGAATACACACTTCACTTTCTGACATGTTTACCTCCAGGATCGCCTGTTTTTACTCCCTCTGACCAGCTTCCCTGTGCCTTTTAGCATTCCCAAAGCATGATGCTGCCACCATCCTGTTTTACACTGGGAATGGTTTATTCAGGGGGTTGTGTACTGTTAATTCTAGCTTTGCTATTAAAAGCTGTCTGGCTTTTAAACATAGATGTTATAACATTTTATCTCTTCACACTGAAACTATCAAGGGATAAAATGCCTCAGTGGAAACGGTAAGGATGTTTGTGAGGAAGAACTCTAGGATCTTCCTCAC